GACATGTTTGCGTTCCTGCTCAAAACAATTCGGCATATATTTGCAGCAAGTGTAAACTTGCAGTGGTCCTTAAGAAAAACAAAATCAAAGGATAGGAACAAAGAGTGGCCACACTTCAGCTGATGAGAGAGGATAGAGATTTATCAGTTCAAAGAAAGAATGCTCCACAACAGAAACCAACAAAGAAAACAATTCTCTGCAAGGAAGTGAATCACACAAAAAAGCATGCCATGATAGGTGGGAGTGACTGCCAGAAGCAAGGAACCTAGAATGTACATTATATCATTAAAACTTGGGAACAGTTTTCAGGCTCTTGAAGCTAAGAGTTATCAAATCCACTGATAACTATTTCTTCTTGCTCTCAATGCATACATGGGAATCCACGGGGTAAGAAGGAAGACAAAAGACATCATGTGGATCATAATGTCAACATGGAAATGACATGAATTATATACTATACATCAGGTGCACCATAGCACAACTAAAGCAAATTACATAATTTGCATTATTTGTATGATGATGTCATCATGGCACCAGATGTCTTTTTAAAAATATTTTTTATTGAAGCAGTTTCTCGACAGAATTAAAAAAGTACAAATTTTGAATTAAAGAAGAGAATAAAGAAAAGTTATAAGAAAGTAAAAAAGAAATAATAGAAAAGGAAAAGGAAAGGAAAGGAAAGGAAAGGAAAGGAAAGGAAAGGAAAGGAAAGGAAAAAGAAAAGAAAAGAAAAGAAAAGAAAAGAAAGGTTCTAAAGAAGCGGCTTCCAATCTTCTTGACAGTGGTTATAAATGCATTTATAGTTTACCCTAAGGTTACATAATAATTTCCTTCTTTCCATAAGCTACCCTTTCTAATCTTCAAACCCATCAATTACAAACCCATTTTTCTCTTTTTTCAGCAAAAAGTCCATAAGGGGTTCCCAGTCACTAATAAGTGTAGTTATTGATCTTTCTCTAATCAAAGGAGTTAATTTTGTCATCTCTGCTAGTTCTGACATCTTCACCAGGCTTGTAAAAGATGTCTATGCAGGCATGGACAAATAATACTGCAAAGAACAGATACAGCTGTATCCCTATGGACTTTGAAGCCTTCAGAAAGAAGCTGAAGACCCTGTGGACTTAGAAGGTATTTGTTATCTTACCCATCCTTCCAAAGAAAAAGATCAGAAAAGGAAAGAGTATTATAAATGAATGACTAGCTTCCAAACTGGTGTTAACAGGAGACTTTTGGTTTGTGGCCTGAGTTATCTAGGTGATAAACTGTTAGCTTAGGAGGGCTTGTATCCCGCAAGTACTAGTAAAAATGTGCTTGGTCAAAGCTTGGTGAGTTTGTCAGGACAGCATTAAACTGAATCTTGTGGTGCTTGACAGTCAAATCCTTGAAATTATGACGTTAGTTAAAACCTTGCTATTATGGAGTTTATCAAAGTATTGGATTAAAAATCAGATAGAACAATGGCTCACAAATTTCAGTGTCTTCATTGTCTCTGCACTAAAGCTTGGAATATAGGAAATAAACAAGAGCTTCAGTTCCTAATACAGGAAGGTAAATATGATTTATTAGGTATAATAAATAGTTCTAATAATAATGGAGATTCTGGCAGAATGACTCCCATAATTGGAATATAGCAATCAAACCTACAGTTTGAACTACTCAGCTCCATTTTGCCTAAGCATTTATCTTCATGTCCTGCTAACTGTAGCACAAAGATGTCCCACTAACTGTTTTAGGTAGCGTTGTCATATTTAGCTATTGCAGTTTTAAAGGAATGTACCAAAGTCTTCTTGTATGAATCATCTCTCACAGCTCATTGATAACGTTGGTGACAATGTGGTCATGTGTTTCCCAGCTACTATTGGTTGCTGGAATAACTGGTATGGTCATTTTAGCTTGGGCTGCCAGAAAGACCAGATCCGTGACTCTTGCAGGTGCATCTGCCTGCATAATGCTTTGATCAGCTAGACATGCTTACCATTTTTGACATCACTGATCACTCTTATAGGCACACTTGCTCTCAAGGATAGGGTATAAAAGTAGTTCTTGTTTAGCTGCCACAAAGGGGACCATTAACTGGGTCATTAAGCAAAGCGATCGCTAACTGAAACTGCAACTGTGCTTATAGTTTTACTTCAGCTTTCCTTTGTTTTACGAACCTGCGAAGGTCGTAAACGTGAGGATTGGTTGCAGTTACTTTTTCATCACCGTCATAACTGTGGTCATTCTACAAGGCAGTCGCTAAACAAGAACTACCTTTGTGTTCTACTAGATAATAGTGAAGAGCAGAATGTAGGAGCAGGAACAACGCCTGAGAAATATGGTTAGAGTATCATTTTGAATGAGTTTAAGTTTGTGCAGAGGTACCATACGGCAAATGATGAAATCAGCTTTGCACTGTTGCTTTCATCATTTTGAGAAATGCCTCTGAATCCATAAGAATGTATTACATCCTAGGGCACTGAAGGAACTCACTGAAGGCTGGCTGAACATTTATGTATTCACTTTGAGAAATCCTGGGGAAACTGATACAGGAACAGATGATTGGCAGAGGGTAAATATGATCAGTTAAAAAAATAACTACCTGTAAAAATAGAGGATCTGTGGAACTACAGACATATACCTAGGAAGATCCTAGAACAGCCTAGATCTAGGCTCCAAATGTTAATTTTTTACAATATTGTTGCTGCCATCTAATGGCTGTCCAGCTTTTTTCACCCAGATCATGAAGGCAAAATAAAGAAATCAATCAGAAAGAATTTTGTAAGCACTATAGGAAGTAACAGAGGTCAGTATGTATTTGTAAAGAGTAAGTATTAGGATTCCTAACCTTATCTTATTGATTGGATAACTTCCTTAATAAATTGTGGGAGTGCTACAGGGTTAATATAACTTGATTTCAGCAAAGCATTGGCAACATTCCGTTTATGAGAGCTGGATGACATGACAATTAAGTAAATACACAGCTGGCTTGACAATCACATTCAAGAAATGCTCATCAATGATATTTCATGAAACCAGAGTGAAATATCAAGTGGGATGCTACAAGGTTCAGTCCAGACCCTGTACTTACAGTTTGTATTAATTATTTAAATGAAGAGGTGCGGGGCATTCTTGTCAAATGTGCAAATAATACAAAACTGGATGAGATAGCTAGTATTCTAGAAGACAAAAATGACACTCCAAATGATCTTGATAGGTCAGAGTAATCATCTAAAAACAGCAGCATGAAATTTAGAGATTAGTGTAAATTTACACAGGTATAGGATGGGGTTTACTGGAAGGGCCATTTGGATTATCTAGTTGACTGCAATTGAATGAGCCAACAGTGAGATGCAAAAAAGGGGAATGTTGCACTGAACACTGCAAATCACATAAAGTAAATGGCTCATTTTGCTTTGGTTGGACCCCACTTCAAGTACTGTATCTATTTCTGCACACCACAGTTCAAGAAGGATTTTTAAAAAGCTGAAATAGGATTAGAAAAGGACAACAAGGACCATCAGGGAACCAGAAATTAAACTCCATGAAGAGTGACTACTGAGATGGATACATTTAAATTTGGGTGTATTGAAGGATTTGATATCATTTTTCAGATACCTGATAGAGAAGAAAGTCAGGACCTGTTCCCTCTTGTTCTATTTTTTTATAAATTTTATTAAAGGTTTTACAAAGACCATGAAAACTAACACAAACTAATAAAGAATAAAAAGAGCAAAGAAAGAAGAAAAAGTGTAAAAAGAGAGAAAAGAAAAAGCTTCCAATTTCTTTTGCAGCCAATACAAGTACAATTACAAAATTAACTCTTATTCTATGATTACAAAAAAAGCTCACTTTTTTCTATTATCCAATTTTTTTCTAATCATCAAAACCACAAATCCTAAGTGCATTTTTTTCCATTTCATGCAAAAAGTCTATAAAGGGTTTCTAGTCATCCATAAATGTAGATTTTTTTTCCTCTAATCAAGGAAGTTAATTTAGCTATCTCTGCAAGTTCCATCATCTTCACCAGCCACTGTTCCCTCCTGTTCTAGAGTGCTGGAATTGCAATAATGGGCTTAAGTTACAGTAAGGCAGATTCTGAGTAGTTCCTAATTGTAACAGCAGTTTGACAGTGGAAGCCATTACTCAGGGAGGCAGGAGTATCCCTCACACTGCACGTGTTCAAGCAGAGGCTAAACAGGTGTTTGTGGGAATGCTTCCACGTGGATTCCTGTATAGACCAGGAGGCTCAACTCGAGGTCCAAATGGCACTTCCAAATTCATTTTGTTATTTTTGGGGAAACATCTTAACCTACCCACTCCTCCAGCTGAGTGACAGAAAGGGCATTTAGGCTGATTTGCAATACCCAGGCAAGAGTCTCAATACACTAAATTCCCAATACACGAAAAAAAAATCGCTTAAAAAGTTTCGGAATCCCATTTCGAAACGGGTTATCGAAAAACGGTATCTTTAAATACACTAAATTCCCAATACACGAAAAAAAAATCGCTTCACCCGTTTCGGAATCCCATTTCGAAACGGGTTATCGAAAAACGGTATCTTTAAAGGCCAAGAATCGGGCCAGGGCGGGGGGGAAGAACGACGGGAGGATTGATGTTGCCTGAAAATTCTTGGGCTGAGCAGCAAAACGATACTGGCGCGTCCGGGTCCGCCATCCTGCGCGGACCACCATCCTGCGCCTGCGTCCCCTTAGAGGGATTTCCAGGTAGAGCTCGGCAACGTGTACGTGGCCCAACCCTGCCAAGGGCCTGCCCATCCATTCATAGCCACCGTTTAGCTTGCGGTAGAGACAATTATCACAAAACAAAGTCGTTCTCCTCTCTAGTCCTCGGGGTCGGGCAAAGAAGCTCCCGTCGCCCTCGCTTCCCTTCCTCTGCTGCCGCCTCCGCCTCCCGGGCCGGAGGGGTCTTCGGAGGCGCACGCCCGCGCGCTCCCGAGGCAGCCAGACTCCGTCAGTCAGTCAGTCAGACGGCCAGCCGCTCAGAAGGGATTCCTGGCCGAGTTCCAGGTCGGCGCACTAATACGAGCTGCAAGGCTCCCGCCTGACTGACGCCTCGCTCGCTCGCTCGTTCGCTCGCTCCCTGGCTGGCTGGCTGGCTGGCTGGCTGTTGCTGCTGCTGCTCTCGCTTTGGCCTCTGCCGCCGCCGAGTTCCTGCAGCCGCGTCCCTTCGCACGTTAGAGGGAGGGGGAAGTGTGAGCCACTCGCTTCAAAGAAGTTGGCGCAGCCCCGGGAAGGAGACGGCCGGGCATCCGGCGGCAGAGGCGTTCAACCTACGGGCAGGTACAAAGCTTTTGTTTGATTTCATTTCTAGGTTGATTTCTTTTCCCCGGGCAGAAAATGTCAGTTCCGACCTGAGACTTTTGCCTGACTCGGGCCAGGCTCCCCACTTTTGTTTTTCTGTGCCGCGGCTTGCCTCAGGATAGCCCTTCGCAAACTTCACTTTGCTTCTCTCGCTCGCTCGCTCGCTCTCTGTTTACGTCGCACTGCACTGCAGGCGTCCGTTTCCTCGGCCAGCAGCTACGTGGTGCCCAGCCCTGCCCTTCGGCGGGGAAGGCGCTAAGCCTGAACCAGGCTCTCGAGGGGATTTTGGCAGCCGTCAGTTTCCTTTTGGCTGTTATCATGTCCGGGTGTTTTCATTCCCCCCAAAGAAGATCGTCGGCTGCGATAGGTGTGCGTGCGCGCGCGCATAGTTTATTTTAGGAAATACTTAGTGTCCTGCTAAAGTGGTAGCCTGTGACACTGTGGAAACCGTGCACGCTTCTTTGAGGAGAAAACCTTTTAGCATAATGGGGTTTACTTTAGAGTAACCTGCGTGAAGCTCCAGCTGTTAGGCGGGGCTGGTGGAATCCAAAAACAAAACAAAAGGAGGACTCCAAGTGATCGAAGTTACTCATTCATCAATTGGAATAATAGAGTTGACCGTGCAAATGTCATCTTTTTAATTTGCTCTTATTTTTAATAGTCGACATTGCTTTTCGGAGTATTTACGCTCAAAAGCGAGGACTTGCCTTTCTTTTGGTGTTCATAGAAACGCGCCAGACCCAGGCAGAAAGGAGGGAATGGGGGGGGAGGATTGATATAGGAGACAAACTGACGCCAGTATTGTGATCGGAAGGAGGGGCGCAACGCGAAACGTTTTTTATGGCTAGTTAACCGCTGTCAAGCGCTCCTCAGCCTCTATTTTGATTTCTTTCTCTGCTTTCTAAATTAAGACAGAAAGCGTAAGGGTTCATGCCGGAAAATAATTTCTTAGACTGCTATCCAACGTCTAGATGTTACCTTCTATAAAATCAAGTCTTCCGGGTGGGAAATCATATTTAAAAACAAACCGGCAGGACTCTTGGAACACTTTAAATACTGACTTATTTTATAATAATATTAATAGCGTCACAAGACTTTTTTAGTTTGCTGTCACAGACCGTAGGTAGTAACGTCTAAAGTTGCAATTCGGTTTCTGTTCTAAATAACATCATCTGAACCAAAGTTTAACACTTTAGTTATGATAATTGTTTCTAAGCCAAAGTTTTGCATGGCCAGAAGGCAGAGCAGGATCTGTCTGAAAAATAGCAAAAATATTTTTAATTCCTAATTAACTGATAGTAGAAACCACCAGACACCCCCCAAAGTTAGATGCTGAAAATGAAGAAAGTTGAGGGAAACCCAAGAATGATTCTAGTTTAAAGGGGCCATGGGCTTTGTGCTGACAGTGAAAACATTAGGACTGAGTGTGTATTCAGAAACACCCCTACAGTTGGCTCCCCAAAGTTCTGGTTAAAAAAAGAAACTAGATTCTACAAAATTGAGATTGTGGGAGTACAGTATGTCATTGACACTCATGACTGGATGAAAACCCAGAATTTCTTTGATTTTGGAACATTGTTGGGAATGGGTAAATTGTTAATCACATAGGTTCTGAAAAGTGTCATTTTTTTTTCATTTTCCTGATAAGAAAGCAAGCAAAACATTTGTGCATTTCAACATTTATATACTGATTCCCTTTACATGATATCTGAAACTTCATTTTGTATTGAAAATTTTCCTTGAACTGTTAAAGAACTTCTATGACTAAACAACTTTGGGACTACAGAAGCAATGTATGAGAGTATAATCAGTTCAACATTTGCATTCTGTAGGCAAATTACATTCTAAGCTAGGAGAACAAATTACAATCTTGTAACTCTCTCTCAATGAATGAATTATCTTATGGCCCAGAGACATGGGAAATTATATACAGGTTCTTGAAATGTAGCCAAGTTTGTGGTTGTCCAGGAAAGGCACTGCAGATAAGAAAAAGATTTAATATTTTGTATCTTGAGAATCATGGAAATATGTGATTCAAATGACAGTTTTAGAGTTTAAAGGATATAGCAGAGCAATATTTTTAACAACATTAAGTTTTTAGAGAAGTGGGTAGAACACTGTGTAGAACAATGATCCTAGTTCAAATAAATTGTTATCTGTTCCATCCAGGTTCAGAAGAAATTGCTGTGGCAAGTCTTCAGTACTGTTAGGTTGCTTACATTTGACTTTTCAAATGGAGTTGGTTTAAGTCAAATGATTGAATAAATTGTGGATATTGTTAGCTACAAAAGTACCAGTATGGAAATGTTGCATTAATCAATGGGAATATATACCTAAAAGCAATTTCAGATATTAACTAAGCTCATTCCTGTTTGATCTGTAATTGTGTGTACAACCCTTGTCCTGGTAATTTGTCAAGATAATATTTTCTGTATTACCACTGCATCACAGATTGCTTTATCATAACTAAAAACCATTTCAAAGCAGTGGCAATACATCCGTTCTTTGTTGGTTTAAAAAGGCTGTATGATTATAAAATTGATACTAGTTTCAGTAAGATGATGTTGAAGTTTGCAGTGTTTCTCACTTGTTACAAAGTATTCTCTCATCTTTATAGTTGAAATCTATCAGTGTAGTGTAAAGGAAACTTCACTTCCCATTTGGGGGAAGGAGACCTTATTTCCAAAGTGGAAATATGGCAATAGGAATTTAAACTATGCAGTGACTGGGTTCACAAATTGGGTGAAGTGATAATGTGATTTGTTCAGTTTTGGCTTACCATGTTGTATGAATTTAGCTATTGCGGTTTGCAAACTCTGATTTATGCTTAGCTCATGATATGAACCAGCCAACTGGCTTGTTCAATAAAACATAGCTAATCCTGCAGTTTATCTCATCATAGTCTAATATACTAACCATTACAACTGTGCTAGGTCTCAGCTTTGTGTGACTACACCCTGCTTTTAGCCTTAATAACTTCCTATTGGAAAACCAGAGTTCTTGGAAATAAGACGTAATGGCTTGGAGAGATTGTTAAAATGTTCTTATCTCACTACAGTGTGGTAAGATTTCACCGCACTGTAGTCCATTGGAGGTGGGGGGCTATAAGAAATGTGAAATAACAACAACAATAGGCTTCTTAAGACTTAAATAAATGGGTCATATCTTTGCTCTAGGAAGACAGTTCTGGAACTGCTGGCCCTGGTTGCTCAGCCAGTAGTCCTGAGTCCTGTAGCCCACTTGTCCCCAGATATCCAGGACCTAGAACACCTAGTGCGATCCTTGTTGACGCGGGTAATGACCAATCCGGTATAGGTTTCTATAAGTTACGTCTCACCATATTGTTTATGGGAGAGACACTCTTTATCTGGCTCCTCTGATGAGACTTGTCCAGTATGGTTGAACCTCTGGCATAGCTCTCATCCTCCTTGGAGCACGCAAGCCCCACAACCACGTCAAGGTAGTGCCTTACTGGGGGAATAATAGGGCTAGGTTTCTTAAGACTTGAATGGGTCATAGCTTTGCTCTAGGAAGACAGGTCTTATGTTGTAATTTAGCTTTCTTCATCTAATGCCCTCCGGATATATTGGTCTTATTGAGAACTTTCACAAAATGGCTGCCACAGAGTGGCTTGCTAGTTCCCAAAATGACTGTCATTGTAAACGTGTCCAGCAGACAAATTGGTAAGGTTGCTTTCTACTGTTCTTTATAGCCCTTGAGGATGTATTCTACCTCCCCAGCTTACTTTTGTCTTTTCTTCTGATCCTATAGGCACACTTCCAAATGAAGCATTGTGGTGCAACCATCCACCATTTTAAGAAGGCCTACATGGAAACGAGGGCCATTCTTTGAAATAAAGATGATGCTAAAGGCTGGTACTATAGTTTGCTTTGCAGTATGCCAACTCTTCATTTCATGTTATTTTAATCAAAATAATGTATTTTTTAAAAGTCAGATGCCAAGAAAGGTGTCTGCAGAGATATTGATTTCTACAGGCACCAGATTGCCCGCACCATTTGCAAAGCAAAGTTGTAACATTCAAGACATATATTTTTCTTTGTTTAACTTCTTTCATGTTTGCAGTCTTGTTGCATAGAATTCTAGAAAGCAGCTGCAGTTAAGAATTAGGATTGAAACAACCAGGCTCTTGTCATGTTATCAATCTCCCTTTTCCTTTTTCCAAGTGTATTTTTATACTGTTCAGTACTATTCAGTGGGGAATTAGACCAGTGCAGTTTTAAGGAATGAGTAATTCTCATCATCCTTTGGCAGTTTCCTTCATTTTGGCACAATTTATTTATGAGAATGTATGCCCCACCCAGTTCCCCAGATTCTGGGTGCCTAACTCCCCCCCCCCCGATGCAGATTGATTATTATGATCAAACTTCATGCAAAGCTGTGGTTTATTTGACTACATTTTTTGAACAGGCCATAGTTGCCTGGAGCGCAAGTAGTAAAACTAAGCCAAGTGCTGTATCATGGATTACAAACCACAGTGGTTGACTTCCCACATCGTGATTAGCCAAAATCAGATTACATTATTGCTTAGCGCAATGATTGAACCACTGTGGAAATCTATTCTGATTTGCCCTTGAAGAGCGAACACTAAAAAAAAAATTCATTTCTCAGATAGACAAGTTGATGTTTATGTGTTTGTTTGGAAGAAGTAAAGGAATATAGCTTTCTTCAGGCAAAAAATAATCTGCAGGAATTATGAATTATGTGTGAAGTGTCTTTTCTTCCTGAGGATTTGGCAGTTTCATTATATAACTACAGACCCCATGATCTTGATAGGAAATTATATGCATGGCTTACAAAATTTGCAGCTGCGAACAAACTTGGGTGGCCTTCACTGTATCTCTTTGGAATATAGGAAGCTGCCAGACACTGAATCAGACTGTTGGTCCATCTAGCCCAGTACTGTGATACTGATTGGCAGATTGTTTTGCTATTACTTGGAAGTGCTGATTATTAAACCT